ATTTGTAGCAGCTTCGTCTATAGTTGCACAAAACTGGAAGTAACAAAGATGTCCATCGATAAATGAATAGATACACAAACTGTGATAACACCCATAAATTGCAAAATTACCAAGTAATAAAAAGAAATGAGCTATCAAATCACAGTAAGACATAATGAACCTTAAATGCATATTCATAAGTGAAAGAAACCAGTGTGACAAGGCTGTATGATTCCCATTATATGATGTCCAGAAAAGGCAAAACTATAGGGACAATTTAAAAAAAAATAATCAGTGGTTGTGGGGGAGGGGGAAAAAGGAGAGGGGGGATTAAGGAAGTGATATATGAAGCACAGATTTCTTTTTTTTTTTTTAATGTATGATACTTTGATACTATAATAAAGGATACATGAAATGATGCATTTTTCAAAACCCCGAGAACTTTACAGGACAAAGAGAGAACTTCAGTGTATGCGAACTTTTAAAAAATCATTTAGAAGGTCAGAAGGATCCCAGAATGGAACAAAAATTGTGACAAAAGGATCTGACACTATTATTAATGCATGCAACTATCTCACTAAGTGGGATGGGGAAAAAGGAATGGAATCTAAACTAAAACCAAAAGTAATTGTACATAAGAACTGTACTCTAGTTGACAAAGTTGTTTCCCACTCTCTGCAAAGAGAACACAAGTTAGCAATTTCAGTACTGGTATAAGTATATAAAAGGATTGACAATTAAGTAAATGGATGACAGGTGGTGGGAGCCAGGTTTCTTTTCATGATTGGGATGGGTTTACAGATAAACAAAAGAAGGCCAGAATGACACAAGTGGTAACAGGGTAGGTAAAGTTGTAGATATCCATATGAACTCATATTTCGCTTAACATGGATACATATGATTATGTAGAGAAATATGTATAGATAGGTGTATATACAGGCTTTGCATACATACATATGTTTCCTGTTCTGTAGATAAGAGGATCTAGAGGCAATGACACCCCAGTAGCAACAAGAACCTAGCACCCAAATCTTGGTTTCTAATATTATTTCCCAAGAAGATCAAACAGATTCTTTCTGGCTGATTCTGGGACTGGGACAGGTAATGGAAATATAAAAAATGAGCCTGGAACATCTTTTAATGTCAGAAAGTAAGGAAATTATTAACAAAAAACAAAAAAAAACACCTCACATTGATGGAGACATGTCAAAGGGACACAAGAGCCAACTGAAGGAGCTCCCAAAGGCCAAAGCTGAAACAACTTGAGCAACAAAATAAAGTAGTACTGGATTATAACCAAAAGTATATAATGTATATCCATGACTACAGACCAATATAAGTAAATGACTGAGTAAATACACAAATGGGGAGAAAAGAAAAATCTGCCATGCAGAAGAATTCTAAATAATTTATATAGATACCCCACCCTCAGGGAGGAAAAGTAAAACTATCCACTCCTTAAATGTGTACTGTGCAAGATGACTTTCTTCTAAAAGTACAGCATAAAAAGAAGAGTAACTTTTCAGGGTAGAAACCTACCAAACACTAACTCAGGCAGGCGATCAAGATCATTATCAACAGTGATAAGTCATGTTGATAGCTCGTACCTTTTATATGATGTAATAAAAACAGCATTTTACTTCTGTGATCTTCCTTTCAAAAAACTAAAAGCCCAGTCTGATCAAGGCAACAAAGTCACACTAATTCCAGTAGAAGGTCATTCTACCCAATATCTCATCAATACTCCTCACAACCGTGAAGGTCATCAAAAACAAGGTCTACTGGGGCGCCTGGGTGGTTCAGTGGGTTAAAGCCTCTGCCTTCGGCTTGGGTCATGATCTCAGGGTCCTGGGATCAAGCCCCGCATCAGGCTGCTCAACGGGAAGCCTGCTTCCTCCTCTCTCTGCCTGCCTCTCTGCCTACCTGTGATCTCTCTCTGTCAAATAAATAAATAAAATCTTTAAAAAAACAAAAACAAAAACAAAAACAAAAAAAAAAAAACAAGGTCTACCAAGCTGTCACAGCCAAAAGGACCATAAGGAGACATGACAACTAAAGTGTAATATGGTATCTAAGATGGTAGAGTCCTGAAACAGAAAAAGGACATCCGATAAACACTGAGGAAACCTAAATAAAGTGTGAATCTCAGTTAGTAATGACATACCAATACTGCTTCGTTAATTATCACAAATACTAATGTAAGATGTAATAAGAGAGGAAATTGGGTAACAGAGTATATGAGAAGTCACTGCCCTATCTTTATAATTTTTCTGTAAATCTAGAACTGGTCTAAAAGGAAAATATATTTTTTTAAATATTATCTAAGAATATATCTAGAAAACACTGCAGAGGGGTGGCTGGGTGGCTAAGTGGGTTAAGCCTCTGCTTTCGGCTCAGGTCATGATCTCAGGGTCCTGGGGATCAAGCCCCACATCGATCCCGTCCAGCTCTCAGCTCAGCAGGGAGCCTGCTCCACACACCCTCCCTCCATCCAGGCCTCTCTGCCTACTTGTGATCCCTCTCTCTGTCAAATAAATAAATAAAAATAAAATCTTTAGAAAACACTGCAGAGGCTGTACTGAAACACCGAACACCTTCCCTGCATACATTAAAGTTAAAATGTTGACAACTATGTTGTTACAGAATTTTCCTTAAGAAAATATTTTCAATCACTAACAGCTGCAAACAATTTCATGCAGTAATTCCCAGCAGGGATGTACTATAGCTAAAGCACTTTAACTAAAATTCCACTTTCCCCCTTACATACCATTGCAGATGTCTGAAAGTTTGTAACCTATCATTAACTTAGGTTGTTTTGTGATGATCCAAATCTGTTTAATACAACTCACCAAAGTTAACTTAAATTTTACATAAATGAAATCAGTGCTAAAATACTCACCCAGCAAAACTTTAAGCATTTAACGAGTGACCTTGAGAAAAACTATCATCTTTTATTGTGGATACCATATTCTCCTATACAAACCATGGTTTTAGTGAGCTCCTGCAGAATTTTAAAATAGGTAAATGAAGAAAAGAATAGAGTCAGCAGAAAAATAAAAAGCAGTGAGTGAACATGTATGCAGCATAGCTCAAGAAAAGGAAGGGTCTAGCATTTGGCGTCTATCAAAAACTGAAAGCAAAGATACAAAGCCTATGTTATAGCATGGAAAAGGACTGATAACTGAAAAGTATCAGCGTAGGTAAAAAATTAAAAAGAGGAAAAAATCAGAAATGAAAACAAAATGAAATATTTTCATTTGACCTGAAACAAGCAAAGGGTTCAAAATTAGACATTAGACTCCTAATAGAAAACAATGCAGAATAAACCATGCTGAAGAATCACCCCAAATTCAACTTCAAGTATTATCCCATCATTAATAAAAGGCTGAAAATTACTACTTACTGATATTCAATGGCATTGGAAAGTGGGAAGAAAAAAGACTTCAAAGAGAAGGTACCAAATATTGTGAACAGTGGTTATTTCAGAATAGTGGAATTAAAAGTTTTCTTTTTTTTTTTTCTGCTGTGGATTGAATGATTTGTGGAATTTTAAAAAGCTTTAATCTATGAATTCTGCACTAAAGGCTTTCTATAAAATGTTATTACATTTGTGATACCCTTTAGTGGCAATTGTATAAAGTGCATTATTTTTCTAATTATACGTCAAAGTGTGAACCCATGACCAAAATTTTTTCACACTAGCAACTTAAGAACTATAACAATCTAACTGAAGAACTCCGATTCCAAACTGGAAATCTATGAGACAGGATGACACTGACTTTAATTTCAATGTCCACACGATCTACATTTAGTGCACCGTTTGCAAAACCTAAGTCCCTTCAGAATGGTATCCTCTCGGTACAAATAAATTAGAAGCTACACACAACACAACTACCTTGCTGTTCCTGTGTATTTCCATACGCATGTGTGTGTAAAGTCTTCTGGGAATCCTAATTCTCCTATCTCGCAAAAGAATAACAAAGCCAAAATCAAGTTGTTCATATGCATCTGAAACCAAGTTTTATCTGTACTCTTAAAATATTACTATTACTCTTATGAGACAAAAAAATGAAATCTTCAAAAGAAATGCGGTAATGCATTTCATTAAAATACATTTTGTAAAGGAGAATTCCAATTCTTAATGCTCTACCGCCCTAGATGTCTATGGTCTTCAAATCCTAATACCACAGGCGTCCTACCCCCAAAGAGATTCCAGCAGTACTATGGGTCTACGGGAAAGGAAGGATTTGAGAAACAATGCAAAGGAAGAGAACGATCCGTGCAAAGATTTCTGCACACAGATAATCCTTGAAAAGAAAGAAGAGTGACCACAGGAGAGGCGAACCGGCTCTTCATACGCGGAGAAATTAACTCCAAAGGCATTAGTTGACAAAGACACCAGAAAGGCCATCTTCCAAAAGTAAAATGGGGATTAAAGTGGAACAAACTAAGAACGGAAAGTCAACAGGAATCGGGAGTGACAACTGTTCAAAAACAACGAGCTATCTTAATTTGAGAGGGTATGCGATGGTGGGAGCTTGCCCCAAACTATCCATCTGAAAAGACCCCCTCCATCTGAGCGTGGGGAGGGTAGCTCTCGAAACCCCGAGCCTAAAATACGCCGTGAGAACACCGCTTTCGTAGTCGCCCCACGGACCAGACAGGCGCAGGTGTATATGTGCGGAAGCTCAGGTTACCAGGAAATATTACAAGGACACTGAGGATCTTCTCTGCCCACCCCTCCCAGAGCCTCGGGCTCCGCGGGCGGCGCGGGGCGGCCGGCGGCCGAAGGTCGGCACCCGCTCGGCGGCGCTCCACGGCCCGGCGTACCGACGCGCTCCGGCAGCAGCGCCCTGGCACACCTGGCTCCCGACACCAGTTGAAAGCGGTCAAAGTGAATGGAAGCGGACGCGGCGCCTGGCACCGCTCCATCCGAGCACACAAAGGCGGATTTTTAAAATCCAGTCTTAGTTCAAACAGCTGGACCCCCGGCCGGCGCCTTTCGCCCGAGGGGCTCTTACCTCGGATCCGCCCTCGGGGCCGTGGCTTTCCCCGGAGGCGCCTCGAGGCGGGACGAGGCAGGCGGCGGCCGGGAGAAAGCCCCCGACCGGGACCACGCCCTTCCAATCCCCCGCGAGCCTCAAAGCGGCGGTCGGCGCCCGGCTGGAGAGCAGCGATCTCCCGGGCGAGCACAGCGCGGGTCTCGCGCTGGGCAAGACCGCCGCGCCCGCCGCCGCCTGTGAAGTCTGGAGCTGCCCGCCCGCTCACCCGCTCGCCGCCAAAGCCAGCCGCGCGCTGCGCATGCTCACTACCCCTGCTAGCAGGGAGCGAGAACGCGCGCGCGCGCCCCCGGCACGGCTGGAGCTGGCTCCACTCTCCGGGTCTTGGCGGCAGCCGAGCCGCGGAGTATCTGGCCGACCCCAGCGCTGCGGGCGAACCGGTGGGGCCGAGTGGGTGGGAGTGGGGCGGAGAAAAGAGGTCAGGGCGCCGGGCTAAATTATCAAGGCCATCAAAGTCGGGCCAGGGTTCCTAGCTACGGACAGGTTTCGAGAAGTGCCCTAGCAGGACCGACTAGCAGCTGGGATACGCGGGAAGGGGAACAGAGCATGTGGAAAGGTTCACCCCGGGGCAAGGTTGATGCCCCTGGCCATGGGAGCGCCCAGTTACAGCGCCCCGGGTCCTGGAGCACAACTCCTGGGCGCAAAGCTCGCCGAGCCCAACGACCCGCTAGCCTTCGTCTTCCTTCTCTCGGTCCTGCAGCCTATTTTCCCCCTTTTGTCGCTCTGCGCTTTTTTGTTTCAATTCATGCCATCAACTGGTGGCACCCAAGGACCTCCATGCGGTCCTTAGCTCCAGCCAGCAAGCCCAGACCCGCTTCGCAAGCCTGCCTTAGATCCCATTCTTCACGTAGTTCTTGCCAAGAGCCTGATGTGGTTTGCAGTGGAGACTTCTTTCACTTAATCCCTCTCCCAACTTAAACCTCCTAATCCTTGCCTCCTCCTTGAGTAGCTCACTGAGCCACTAAATGAGAAGCCCTGTAGTAGTCTTCGTCTTAAAAACACTCATTTGTCATAGCTACGCCCCCTTCCTGTTCCAACTTCTTTAAAGGCAAGTGACTCTCAGAAATCAACAAAGATAAACTTGGTTAAAACAGTGGGCATGCTCGCTTTGTGAGACAAGGAAAAGGACAGCGCAGTCAGGGGAAAACAAGGTTTCACACCAAGGTGGAAATTAAAACCATTATGCTAAACGTTCAAATAGAACTTAAGTCCAGTCCCCTATCTTAAGTAGAAATCATCTCTGCAGTATTTCCATCATACCATCATCCACTTAAACTTTTATTATGTTGGAAATCTTTATATTTATTATTATGTGTAATCATGATTATTCAATTTTTACCTACGCAATTTTTATATATTATTTCTAATATTTACATATTTATATATTATTTGTAATCCTAATTACTGATGTATTTCTAATGCTAATTACTGATGCCAGAATTAAAACCCAGCTCTGCTTAAAAGATCCATAATCATTTGCTTTGTAAACATCAATTCAACTTCCCTTAGCACCACTCTGCTGATTCTGACCCCTAGGAATTAATTAATCTCACTCTTTACAGGCATCGCAAGCCTTGAAATATTTGAAACAAACTACTTAAGTAACTATCAGAATTGGTAATATTTTTCAAAATTTTTAGATCCTTTTATTTGTCAAATGGAATGGTGAGCCCTCATAACCACAATTTTTGCCCTGCTTTGCATTTCCTTCAGCTTTTCCTTTTCCTTCTTAAATCATGCACTCAAGGAGAACACAACACGCAAATACAGTGGGCCAAGAACTTTGTTACAAAGTGATCAGTAGCCCCTTGATCCAAGCATACCCTGTCAATAAGGCATCCCAAACTTGTGTTAGGTTTTTCTTTTGGCAAACATATTACTTAGAGTTGAATAAAATATCCAAGTCTATTTTACATGAACTATAATTAAACCATAGCTTCCACCTTACATAGTCTATGTTTCTATAATTCTACACGTTTAAACCCAATTTTTGCCTTTAATCCATACTAAATTTCATCTGTTTGTTTTAAGACAGAATTTCAGATTTTAAAATCTTATTAGTGATAACTTTTAACTTACGGTATCTCTAAAGTTAATGAACATGGCTTCTTTGTCTCCACTGAAGTCTAATAAAGTTATATAAAACAGGCTTAGAAAAGAGTCTTGTAGCCCACCACCAAAAATAATCTCCAAGTTAATAATAATTTATGAACAAACACTTTTCGAGATCAAGCACTTTAATTCATACAATTATACTATAACAAACAAGAATTTCATGAATGGGGGTGCCTGGGTGGCTCAGTGGTTAAAGCCTCTGCCTTCGGCTCAGGTCATGATCTCAGGGTCCTGGGATCGAGTCCCGCATCTGGCTCTCTGCTCAGCGGGGAGCCTGCCTCCTCCTCCTGTCTCTCTCTGCCTGCCTCTCTGCCTGCTTGTGATCTCTCTCTGTCAAATTAAAAAAAAAAAAAAAAATCTTTAAAAAAAAAAAAAAGAATTTCATGAATGGTTTCCTAAATACTTTACTGAAATGAAAACTCGCTGCCTCTAGCATCCCTAAATATACCAGTCCAAGTATGTATTAAAGAAAGAAAGAAAAAAAATCCAAAGCTAGTTAAACAGGATCCATTTTCAAAATAACCCATTCTGGTATCAATGATCCCTATTATTTTTTCTAAGGGTTTAGAACCAGTGTTAATAATCTCTTTTATACTTTTGCTGAGAAATGGGCAAATTTGCCTGCTTATAGTGCCACCATCTACAAGTTTCCCCTTTCTAAAAAATCTCATGTGTTAATGTTGGAATAGGCGTTGAAAATAATGCAGGACAGAATGAAGAAGTATGGAATTAATAGGGTCTTTCAGATGTGGAGTGAAGTGACAAAACTTGAGGAACAGATTAAGTCTACAGCTGGGTATAAAAGCTAGACACAGAAAATGTGAAGAAATTTTAGCGGCTGATTGTATGTAATATGAACACTAGGTGCTATATCTAAAGTACTGAAAAGTCAAATATATCCTTCAAATACCCTCTCCATTCCAGTCCCCCAATCTAACCCCTGAATATCATTTAGGGACTGCTGTGTGCAGTCTTTATGGGCAGTCTTAAAAGCAAATAATGCAAAACATATCTGTGGATAAATGAAAAAAGGTATACAGGCATCACCTGCTTTACTGCATTTCGCTTTATTACACTTCAAAGATACTGGGTGGGTGTTTGCTTTTTTTGTTTTGTTTTGTTTTTTACAAATTGAAGGTTTGTGGCAATCTTGCATCCAGCAAGTCTGTCAGTACCTCTTTCCAACAGCATTTGCTCATTTCATATCTCTGTGTGTCATTTGGTAATCCTTGCAATACTTACAACTTTTTCATTGTTGTTATTATATTTGGCATGCTGATCTGTAACCAGTGATCTTTAATGTTTCTATTGTTATTGTTTTGATGCTCTAGGAACTAAAAACATACACTATATCAGGTATAAGACATTGAAAAGAAGATTGGTGTAGCTATATTGATATCACACACAGTGGACTTCAGATAAAAAAAAATATTATTGGAGACGGACAGCGTTACCACTGAGTGATAAATCTATGAGGAGAAATTGATGAATCCATCATTATGGGGGGTTATTTCAACAGCCTCTTACTTATTGATAAATTATTCATAATTCCATGTATATAGATAGTTACAGATATATAGATGTAGATATATAGATATATAACATTTAGAGAATGGACATTCTCATCAAATCCATAAGAAATATTTCCAGAAATTGGGGCACCTGGGCGGCTCAGTCAGTCAAGTTTCCAAATCTTGGTTTCTGCTGCGGTGGTCTCAGGGTCATGATATTCAGCCCCTTGTTGGGCTCTGTGCTCCACAGGGAGTCCACTTGGGATTCTCTTCTTCTCCCTCTGTTCCTCCCCCACTCCCTCCACATGCAGACACAAATAAATAAATAAATAAATCTTAAAAAAAAAAAAGAAAAGAAATATTTACATAAATTAACCAGCATACTTAATACATTTCAAAGAATTTGTGTTATCTAGACGAGGGGTTGAAAACTTTTCCTGTAAAGGGCTAGACAGTAAGTACATTTACTTTGCAGGTCTCTGTTGCAACTACTCAACTCTGCTACTGTAGCATGAAAGCTGCCATTAAAAAATATGCTTATGCAATTCACCGATCTTCCTGCAGGAGCAAGGATAGTCATTAATTAAGTGAATGACCATGACTGAGTTTTCCAATAAAACTTTATTTAGGTGCACTAAATCTGAATTTTTTAAAAGATATTGAAGAGCGGGTGGGGGGACAGGAGCAGAGGGAGAGGGACAAATAGACTGTGCTGAGCACAGAGCCAGACTTGGTGCTCAATCTTACCACGCCAAGATAATGACCTAAGCCAAAAACAAATGGCTTCACCTGCCTCAAACTATTACCCTTCTGTGTTTTTCAACCAATTAAAATATGCCAACCATTCTTAGTTCACTAGTGTAGAAAAACAGGTTGGAGACCAGGTTTGTTGATCACTGATTTAGATCCTGTAATCTCTACTAAAATCTCCCAATAGATTTAGAAATAGGCAAATTTTTTTAAAGATTTAAGTTTAACTTGAAATTCAAGTAATAGTACATTTTAATTTCTAAAGATTAACTTAAATAAAGGGGATTTTAAAATAGACTTCTACATAACTCATGGATCAAAGAAGAAATCAAGGGGCACCTGGGTGGCTCAGTTGGTTAAGCGACAGCCTTCAGATCAGGTCATGACCCCCGAGTCCAAGGATTGAGTCCCACATTGGGTTCCCAGCTCCATGGGGAGTCTGCTTCTCCCTTTGACCTTCTCCCCTCCCATGTTCTCTCTCACTCTCTCTCTCAAGTAAATAAATAAAATCTTAAAAAAAAAGAAGAAGAAGAAATCAAGAATAAAAATTTAAGAGAATGAAAGAGAAATAAATTTTGATATATCCAGATCATGAAATACTCTATAATGGGGAACATGAGGAAACAGCAGGTATGTTCAACAGCCTAGATAA